AATGTGCGCCGCTGATTTCGGAGACGTGAGCTCCACGCGATCAGCTCATGTTTCCCGACGAGAGCAGTCTCGACTCAGCTAGTCCTTCTGACATGTGCCGCTGGCGCTGATGTCTCTGTAGTGGTTAATCATGAGATATAATTCATTTTGGGTAAATCTAACAGGTAATCTTTGATCTTTATTCTATTAATCTATTAATATGTTAAAATGAAAATAAAAAGAGGCAATACTGTTTGATATAATATTTCGTTTCATTTTAATGTAGGCTATATACATTCCCTGAACTACATTTCTGCGGCTATTAATATGTTTAAATGAAACAAAAGGAGGCAGTGGTGTTTGATATATTTTGTCTTATTGTAAATACAGTGAGGAAAATTGCAGTAGCCGAGGCGAGCTGACTGACGTTATCAAGTACGCTGTGTTTTGCAGAATTACTGGACTTGTGTCGTCCCGTCCGCGGGAGTTCATACTCCTCAGTCGAACTCGCGAAGTCCGAACTACCGAGGATGCCAGTCCGACATTTTTGTACTTGCTATTAAGAAACGCGTGCAGACCTAAGTCACCAGACTATTTGCCTAATCTTCTTGGTCCTTTAGACCGCGATGGAAACGCAGACAGCAACAGGTCCGGGGAAAAAAAGTTCCTGGGACAAATTGTTCCTGGTAATTTCGGTGGAAAAGCGGCTTATGTGTCCAAGCAGCTAAAGCTGTCTTTCACTCAAACGAATACAGGTGATTCAGTGAACCACACACTTTGATTGTGTTTAGTCTCATATAGACTGTTTGCTCATCCCAGTCATTGTAGGAGCTTCCTGTGAAATTTCTACTGCACTGTACAAAGCTGCTCAAGCGATTCAGCAAAGAATTCTCCTGGCCAACAATTAACAGTATGCATTTTACTCTATAATAAACCATTTTTAAAAATCCTCCACAACACCAGCTCAAATTCAATTTAGTTAAATACAACTAATGCGTTACACAACAGAGCTATGTATTTTCAAAGATCTGTGTTTAAGTTTAGCTATAGACTGATGTGAATGCACTGCAGGTCAGGGTCACACGGGGTCAGATGACCTCCAAGACCACCTCCTCAGACGCCACAACACTTTTGATGAACGGCCACTCTGTTTTTAATTTAGTCACTATCAACATTTGTGAGATTTATTCATTCAAAACTGTTTTGAGGTTTTCTCTGGAAAATAGTGATCCATGACATTTTGTGTGTGTGTGTTGATTTGTTAATGAGCATTTTTATTTTGAAGTAAACAGTTAAAATTGTACCCTTGGGGTAAGTTGAGCCACCAGAACTGGCACAGAAGGACCCTAGCAGTGTGCTGTTGCATGTTTCAGACATCTTCGCTCTGGGTTTTAGACTTTGCTGCAGCCTGGAATTGAACTGCTGGTTTTGTCTGGTCAGAGGAGAACTGGCCCCCCGACTGAGCCTGGTTTCTCCCAAGGTTTTTTCTCCATTCTGTCACCGATGGAGTTTTGGTTCCTTGCCGCTGTCGCCTCTGGCTTGCTTAGTTGGGGACACTTCATTTCCAGCGATATTGTTGACTTGATTGCAAATGATTGCAAAGATACTATTTAGACTGAACTGAGCTGGATGATGACATCGCTGAATTCAATGATGAACTGCCTTTAACTGAAAAATTAGTGTTTACTATTGTTATTTTGCATTATTGACACACTATTTTCCTAATTAATGCTGTTCAGTTGCTTTGACACAATCTGTATTGTTAAAAGCGCTATATAAATAAAGGTGACTTGACTAGGTTAATTGAGTTAGCATTCATAGCGTTGCTAACTTGCTATTATGCCTCTACGTCATAGAATCATTTTACCTTTTAAATTAATCTCCGTTACTGGGATTCTGCTTTGTCTGTCATCGGTTATTTATCTAAATTGTCAAAATAAAATCTTAAATAGAATAGTTAATTTAGTATTGTACAATAATGACATTAAAATCAGATAAATATTAATAAGAATTTCATCAAAATTATTTTATACATTCCATAAAAGTTTATCTAGGAGGGCTTCTTATTCCTCTTGTAATATTTTGTGCTATTTAACAATCATAGCTCATATTATTTCCTATATGAACACATTGGCTGATGCATCATTTGCACATGCTAACTTGTTTCTAAATATGTTACATTTGTAAAGGAAAGTCACATTGTTCTTGTCCATCTTACCCTTATGTAAAATATTGTAAGGAAATATTATGCTGTATCAAACTGACATTTTTAGGAAAAGCAGGAACACAATGCTGCATCTCTGAAGGCTAAAATCCAGTGGCAAGGACTCAAATGATTATAGGCCTTATTCGATATAACAGTATTAAACAGAGTCACACGGTCCGGTCTAAAAATCCAATGTATTTTGCATTATGCTTATTGTTAGGGTTAGCGTCATGAGCAAATGCTGTGAAAGATTTAAATATAGCAGACTGAAGGTGTTTCAAACAACTTGCTATCGTCTGTGGCCTAATGTGACGTCCAGCAGATGATGTGGAGATCGGACGCGAGTGACGCACTTCCGGTCAGCAGCGCTGATATTAAATAACTAGCTAGCGTGCTATTCTATCAAACACAATCAAATATTAGAAGTAAAGCACCCGCAAATAAATAACCTCTCAAGGGGGTTTATAAACACATCCCCTCCTCGAGCGTTAGCGATGGTAAGATGCGCGTGGAGTTAGCGGAGCGTCTCACACCCGAACACAAACAAAATCAAATACACGACTGCTGCGAGAAGCACAGCGCACGGTTTGTGTGTAAAACCCCACACAGAGCAGCAGAGGCAGAGGAACGAGAGAGAGTATAAACCCCACACAGTTCACAGAGGAACGAGAGAGAGAGAGAGAGACGTACGAAAGCGGGCCGTGTTTTCTTGCTGCGGCCGGTGTTCTCCAGCTCGTCGCCGTCGCTCTCCGTGTCCCAGGTGGAGTCATATTCACACACCAGATCGTCGTCCATCCCTGAAGATCATGTGAATGGTGATAAATGCGGTCAGTAAACTGGAGTGGGATGGGGATCCGCACAGCTCCATTAGATGTGCAGTGCTCGGCGGCCTGACTCACTGCGCTCCCCACAGTCACTCCCTCACTCTCTCTCTCAGTGGAGTCTGGCCTGTACACATATACACTCCTGTTCTACAGCATCATTACATGGGTGTCAAACTCACGAGCAAGCTAAGTGTAACCTTATGTGTGTGTTTTTTTATTTTTTAACCATGCTGTACCCAGGACAGACATGCTCATAATGAATCCAGAATGAGTTTTGCTTCTTTTATCTGTTTGGATCAATCCATTTGCAAGTTTTGTTTTATAGTGCAATACATTGTAATTAATATCACCTAATCCAGCATTTTTTTTTCTCTTATAAAATAAATTGTTGCACTGTAAGACACACACACACACACACACACACACACACAAAATACATGATTTCTGAAATATTATCAGGGAAAAACGACTTTTAGATTATGGCAAGCCGTGTTAACATTTAATCTATAAACCGCACTAGTATCTAATTTAACGTTACTAGTACTTATTTTTTAGATACTAGTATATTTTCCATTAGATACTTGTACTTATTTATTAGATACTAGTACTTATTTATTAGATACTAGTGCTTATTTATTAGGTACTAGTACTTATTCATTAGATACTAGTGCTTATTTA